TGTTGTTATCCTGAGCAGAAGCGATGCTGAAAATGTAGATAAGCAAGGAAGCAAATAAAATCATATTGTGCAGGGTAGGAGCATCAGGACTACAGTCACTTGCCCAGAAGTTTCCCGGCTGTGAATATCTCCCAGTGCTTAATTTTCTCTCAAATGGATCACAGATCTCACAGCAGCAAATTAGGCAAGAAGAGGATCTGAGATGTGTTAGCCCTTCCACAGTCTGTTAAAAGTCTTTGTGTTTTCCTTTTATTTCAATCCTAGAGTGTTGCTGCTAGTTTCTTATCTACAGAATAACCCCGGAACCCCTAGTAAGGGCTCAACATGTATTTATCAAAAAAATTGTTTCGAGTTGTTCCCCCGTGTTCTTAGTGAATGACAGGTATTTGTGAACAACTGTTCAGGGCTACAGCCCAAGATTACGAAGACTGAGATGCAAAACTGATACTAAGATACTAAGACTGAGATGTAAAAACTGAATCCATGATTTACTCTCATGACTAAAAAATCTCAGCCAACATGATGCCACCTGAGCAAAACACTCCACTTTTTGCTGTTACCACTGCCAGATATGCCCAGTGAGTTCCCGGCCCTAAGATCTCCCATGAGACTTCTTCAATATACCTCCTAAGGTTCCCAAACCCTAATTTGAGTTAGCCCCTTAACATGGAGTCATATGTTCCTATAAACTGGTGTAATCACAGGAGATCGAAGGGTCCTATTTTGCAGCTGAATTTCAAAATGAGCTGGATAATTTTATGACCAGCAATAAAACTGGTAGTTATGAGAGCTAAAATATAAAAAGCTAATCAGATCTCATGTTTCAGGACATAAACTTGTCACCGTGTACATTAACAAGATTTCCCCCCTTAAATGGCAATGTTGTATGTTGTAGAGGATGTTCGCTTTTTAGTCATCTGTGCCATATGGCTTTTTCCTGGGCAATTCAATTGAGTGTGCATTTATTAGGTGTCTAATGTGCACAAAGCACCATCATAGGCAGATCTCCATAGGGTAAAGGCACTTGCAAAATAGAATCCGACATAATCTAGTTGCAGAGGAAGATGTGTGTAACCAGAGCCTATGGTTTTGGGGTATCAAGAGTCACAAAATTCCCAGGGGTTTGAGTTACAAAAAGGCATGTCATATTCCTCAGGGCAACTGTAAAAGGGATATTATGACTAGGAGTTAGCTATTTTCTTTTCTTTCTTTTTATTTTATTTTATTATTTTATTTTTATTTTTTATTTTTTATTTTTTTTGAGATGGAGTTTCGCTCTTCTTGACCAGGCTGGAATGCAATGGCGCAATCTCGGCTCACTGCAAACTCCGCCTCCCGGGTTCAATTGATTCTCCTGCCTCAGCCTCCCAAGTAGCTGGCATTACAGGCGCCCGCCGCCAGGCTAATTTTTTGTATTTTTAGTAGAGACAGGCTTTCACTATGTTTTTCAGGCTGGTCTCAAATGCTATTTTCAAATATTAACACCCTTATCCAAGATTGAGATGCAGGGCATCCATGCAACCCCTGGGGAGGGTTCTCAGTAACAATCCTAAATGTCAAGGAATTTCTAAGGGACCATTCTTCTAACAGCAGAAGAATGTTAGAAAAAGCCCAGCTTCCCTTAGCCTGGTATGAGTTTCTTATCTAAGGGAGATTTAAACCTCAAAAAGCAAATGCATTTTGGGGTATTTTTTCAAAACTCTATAATCTCTTATAGACAAGTCCATCTCTGTGAAAACTATTATATTTGGAGGAATGTTTTCTTTCGTTTCTGGCAGAGGAACTGCGATTCTTGATGGGAGTTCATCAGAAATACTAGAGAGTGGGGACAAAAGGAGATGCTAGAAGACTCCAAGCACTGGGGAAGAGAAGAGAACATATCTGCAAGGTCAAACTCTAGATGCTGAAGGGTAGCTTAGTGAGGAATATCATTGCAGGTGTCTGGTTTCAAGTTTTCCCTGCTACTTGGTGGGAGACAGGAAATTGTGGGCAATTCCATTTTCACTGTGGCGGCAAAGTCACAGGGAAGGAGTCTTTGTAGGATGGGATGTGAAACTAGGAAGCCTAGAGGAGTGGGATGGGGGTATTTACATAGCTAGTACAGTCTAGGTTTCTCCTATAAAGAAAAACTAATATATGGAGCAGAATAAAATAGGTGCTATATAATAGGGAGCAAAGGATGTGGAATAGCAGAAAAATAAGCAATTAAGCCTGAATAGAGGGGTAAGGGAAAGCTTTCAGAGAAGATAATATTTTAACAGAAATTTAGATAAGTAGGAATTTTCCAGTATAAGTTGCTAGAATAAGCAACAAAAGAAAATAGGCTAACTGTTCCTGTTGTTCAGCAAAGAGTTGATACTACAGTGAAATAGAACTATAGTTTCTTTGTTGAAAGAAAAATGAGACTGGAAATTTAATCTCAGGTTTGTAATTTCTTCAGCAGACAATGGGGAAGCTTTAGAGAGAAGATGACGGTGACCTGAAGTATTCTAAAAGACGTAAGTTTGTAAGCACTGTGGAGGTTGGTATTGAGAGTGTAGAGACAAGAAACAGAATTCCCACTGCCTGGAAAATTATTTCCCATCTCTATGATTAATTAGAGAAGGGGCTTAGCACCAGGTCTTGGTTTTGACATTCACTTATCCCGGCAAACCTTCCTAATTCTCAGGTGTGGATTAGGACAAAATTATTATTATCGAGGTATTTGTCCATATCTGCCTTAGACTATCCACTGCATTAAAACCTTTAACATGTCTGCCTTATTCACTATTTTCTTTCTTGTTCCTGGGCCCTGCTGGATACTTGGTGCATATGTATTGGGTAAATAAGTAGAGAGATGTGTGAATATTATTATTATTATATATTTTTTGAAACGTGATCTCACTCTGTCGCCCAGGCTGGAGTGCAGTGGCCAGATCTCAGCTCACTGCAAGCTCCGCCTCCCGGGTTTACACCAGTCTCCTGCCTCAGCCTCCCAAGTAGCTGGGACTACAGGCGCCTGCCACCTCGCTCGGCTAGTTTTTTTGTACTTTTTTTTTTAAGTAGAGACAGGGTTTCACTGTGTTAGCCAGGACAGTCTTGATCTCCTGACCTCGTGATCTGCCCGTCTTGGCCTCCCAAAGTGCTGGGATTACAGGCTTGAGCCACTGCGCCCGGCCGATGTGTGAATATTTTGAATAAATCAGTTGGGAAAAAAAGGCATAAGAAAAATGGCTATAAGAATGAAAACATCAGAAACATGGAAAATAGTATGCAAATGATTGGAGATATATGAGATGTGGAAAGGGAGGGATTACTTTAAAGACGCCTCCCATGTGTCTATCCTGGGTTTTGAGATAGGATAGTAGGATAGTGATACTACCTGAATTATCCAGTTAGAGTTTGGTACCTTTCATACAGTATCTCCTCCCTCTACAAACAGGGTTTTGGTTGAACCGTTTGAAGATTCCTTATTCGTTACAGGAATGTGACCATGGTCTACCCATATAAATACCCTCCAGGCCAATTCCTGAGATGGGAAGGTATGAATAAGATCCTGGTGCCAGCTAAACAGGGTCTGATACTCTTCTTGAAAGTGATTCCTTACTGATACGTTTTGGCTCTGTGTTCCTACCCAAATCTCATATTGAATTGTAATCCCTACATGTTGAGGGAGGGTCCTAGTGGGAGGTGACTGGATCATAAGGGTTGTTTTCCCCATGCTGTTATCATGATAGTGAGTGAGTTCTCACAAGATCTGATGGTTTTATAAGTGGCAGTTTCCCTGTGCTCTCTCCCTCTCCTGCTGCCTTCTGAAGAAGGCACCTGCTTCCCCTTTGCCTTCCACCATGATTGTACGTTTTCAGAGGCCTTCCCAGCCATGACGAACTGTGAGTCAATTAAACCTCTTTGTTTATAAATTACCCAGCTTCAGGTAGTGTGAAAATGGACTAATACACTTACCATCAAGCAATTCTGATGGAAAATGCAGACAGAATTTGGGAAATTTAGATTGGATTGTGTAGACAAGTGGCTGCCCAGAAAAAGTGTCAATGGACCCTTTCCATGTATTCAAAAAAACATACGCGAGAAAGGTGGAATTTTTTTATTGAATAATTTTCTAGGATAAAATGGTTCAGGTCTATGAAGTTATAATATTAGCACTATAGTAATAAAATAAACCAAATAGATTTTCATTCTACAAAATGAGAGTCGCTATACTGTACTGACTTCAATAAAATTAATTAGGTACCTTGGCTGGAAGTTAAATCTTCCACATAAAGGTATCCGTTTTAAAGCAGATGCATTAAATGGATTACCATATAATGAAATATGTGTTAATATGTGTATTATAATCAAAACCCATTGTTTCTAGAAGGAAGAAAAATAAAATTCTAAGTCTCATTTTTTAAAAAAGTTAATTTTCATTGAAAAAACATCTGCTTAATTCAGTAGCCAAATATCAGAATCAAAAAAAATAAAATTCTCAGAGCTGTGATTCAAAACTTGAAATAATTAAATTCTTAATTTAGAATGGAATTATTATAACTGATCATATTTTTCCACACATTTATCTAACAGAATTTTGTATTTGGATGATTTCATCTTGTGTATCCAACCACTTGGCAATTTAGCCATTGAATATGCACCTGCTTCTCAGATTGGCAAAGCAACAATTTACTGTGAAGAATCAGTTGTTTTGAATGGCTAATTGGTTACAGGTGCAATGAATTAACCATCTGCCTTAGAGATTGACTAAACTAAGAGGGAAGGAAAATCCCTTTCCTTTCTGTCACTTTGGGAGCTCATCAATACTAGATTCTAGTGAGATGTGATTCTGACTTGGAATTTGTCTGTCCTGTGGTGGGTAGAGTGAGGTGAGCAAAAGGAGAAGCAATTTCATTCAGTGGTTAATCAGAAGAATATTATAGAGTTCTGATTAAGACTCTGGTTTGTTAATTTTTATCAATCTATCTTTTAAATTAGACAAACATTTCAAAGTAAAAAAAATTGGAAGATATCTAAAAGAGCATGGAAACCCCACAGACAGGTTTACACCAGCGCATTTGATGCAGTCTTGGTTTAGGTTCAGGTTTTCTAGCTTTTCTTTCCTGATTTAAATCTAATTTTAAAAATTTTCTGAAGAATTATGACATTAATCTCTTAATGTGTCACAATACTGAAAATCAATCCTCCTTTTTTCATATTAAAGGCTAGTCAAATGAAGCAGTGGGAGTGGAAAAGGAACAAATAAATCTGTAACTGGTTGTGATCAATTAGTTGTAAGCACCACTGCACGAGGACCAGCCCAAAGCTGCTACTTAACCAAGTGACTTTCTGATTGCTCAACTGTGGTGAGTCAAAGCATTCCTAAATGGGCAAAAGCCTTTTTTTTTTTTTTTTTTTTTTTTCCCTGGATTGTTGCAATCTCCTGACTCCAAGAGGCTAAAATGAAGCTCTTGTTAACTAGGAGATGCAATCTGGCTTGGATGACCAGCTGTAAAATGATGTTAGGTTAATTTAGTCTGAATACATTTGTTTGTCTTTAGGCCAACACTTCATTTTTCTCTCCCATACCTAACTGAATCTACATTTTATATGTTGTTTAGTTTATGAAGCCAAACTTTTAACGAACCTTAAATATTTAAGAGTTCCAGTTGACTTAACATGTTTTCATATTCTAAGCAATATATTCTCACCTGTAGTAAAAGTTACCTGTATGATTCACAGAATCCTGTAATGTGTTCTTATTAGAGCTTTTTCAAAAGTGCCTCTGCCCGCCCACATTTATCTTAAAGAATTGGCAAAATGAAAATTATTTTTTCTCACAGAGTGGAGTGGAACCTTTCAAAGGGCAGGCACTCAGAAACACAGTTTCCCATTCAGTTGGTTTTGTGAAATACCCTGAAGTTCAGTTGAGTCAGTTAAATCAATATTTTTGCCCTACTTAATTACTTTTTAGCAAAACAGAATCATTTGTGCCTATGTGGTTGCCTTGTTAAAACCACATGAACTGATGTCATCACTGGTAACAATAAGCTAGCCAAGTGGGAAGGACTCCTCTCTGCGTCATTTTAGGTACTGAAAATATGTGAGAATGAATACAAATTTGGGCAAAATGTCTTTCTTTTTTTTGCTGTTATTTTTGTTGTTTTGGAGACATAGTCTCACTCTGTTGCCCAGGCTAAAGTGCAGTGGCGCCATCTCAGCTCACTGCAACCTCCACTTCCCGGGTTCAAGCAATTCTCTGCCTCAGCCTGCCAAATAGCTGGGATTACAGGTACCTGCCACCAAACCCAGCTAAATTTTGTATTTTTAGTAGAGACGGATTTCACCATCTTGGCCAGGCTGGCCTTGAACTCCTGACCTCGTGGTTCACCTGCCTCAGCCTCCCAAAATGCTGGGATTACAGGCTGGGGCATAATTTCTTAATGCCTAAAATGTACTTCATTTATTTTATAAAATAACCTCCACTAAAAACAAAATTATTTGGGAGAATCCTATTTTCAAGATTCCAGCTAAGGATTAGATTGTGGGGTTTTAAAAAATAATTTCCTACTAAATAGCAGTTGGAATTTGACTACATGAAGTACAGTGTCATTCCAGTTTTCTGGACCTAGTTGAATTGTCATAAAATGTCTTTCAATAGAATGTCATTTCAATTTCTTATTCACATTTAGAAAATGAATTATACTTATGGATTTTAGATTCTCTTTGAATATATATAAAATTTTATGCAATGAAAGTCTTTGTACAACAAAATATTTCTGACAAAAGCTCATTCATTTCAAATACCATTCAATAAAACAATATTCCATCAGATCAAAACATTTAGGTCTAGCATTTCTTAAGATCATTGTAAATAGTCATGGTTACATAAATCTGAAATACTGCTTTAGAAATAATTTGGGGCATTAATTGACCCTACAAAAATAATGTTTTCTCACTTTCATATATACATTTCCATTTGTATCCCATCCAATGCAAAAGGTACAGATAGTAACATTGTTTCCTACTTGTTCTTGAATGCATACAAATATTCATTATTGATTTTCTCCAAACAAAATGGAGGTCCTTCATAGTTTATCTCCACTATATTCCCTCCTTTTGTTCCTCTTTTAGTGATGCTTATTCTTCAGTGTTATTTGGTGTTGATGAAAATCCTTGTGTTACAGAAGTGGTGTCTATAAAGGTTATTCATGGTAGAGTTGAGAATTACATATTTTATATCAACATATATTTATTTTAAAAAATATTCATATAAAATATATAATTCATATTAAGTGAAATCATATATACAAAAATATTTATATAAGTATATATTGATATAAAATATATAATTCATATTAAATGAATTTACATAAATATGTATTTAATGTGAATTTTATATTTTACATCATATATATTTACATGACACCCAAGCTATCATCAGATTTGGAAGTTATTTTAGAAATCCTCATCCAGAGTACTGTCGTTTTAAATATTTTATAGCAGCAGAACTCCTTCAAACAGAAATGTAAGATACGATTAGAAAAATGCACTACCACACCAGTTGATGCAGGGTAAAACTTCCCAAATTCATGTTTTGTGACTTCTCTTTTGTGTTCTGAGAAATCTTAATATTATGAGTAAAAAGGCATGGGAACTGCTATTCTTTTCCAAGGACATAGTTTCCCTGCTAGGAAACTGAGGCATAGAGAAATTATTTAGTTTCTGTACAGGCAGCCAGTGAGTTATAACGGAATCAGAAGGAAAACTAGGCTGTCTTGAATTCTGATCTGTTTTTTCCAGTGTTAAAATATAAATTTATATATCTGAATTATCCAAATGGCTTATTTGTATTATTGAAATGCCCTGGATCACTTATTACTTCATTTGACCTAGCTTGTGTAGATGAAGATCCTGTGCCAACCCCTTTCTAGATGCCCACCTGTCTGAGCTCAGGATAACCTTAAATCCCAGTACCTAGGACTTTCAATCTCTTAGACAGTTCATTATGCCAAGTGTTTAGCACAGGGTCACTAGCTGGCTCCAGGCTGTTGATGATTTCATTAAATCTTTCCCAATCTATTTATTTACACAGTTTCAACCGGGAAAAATGCATTGAAATGAAACATCTCATTTCCAGTACTGTCCTGAGGCAAAAAGAGACAATGATACGTATCTCCAATTTAGACTGGATGAAACTAGCCACATTTCAAATAAAGAAGTCACATTGTAAGTTTAAAACTACGTTAACCTTAAAAGAGACCATTTCTCCCTGTATAACTTTGCACAGCTTCAACTGATGGTACTATGAACTGTGTCTACAAACCAAACGATGTTTTTCTAAAGAAATTTTAAAAATATCAAATTAACTCAAACCTTACCTTAGAGCTTCCTCCTCTATTGTCTTTTCCTGTAGTGGTAGTCTCTGTGGCAGTTACAGGTGGTAAACAAATAAAAAAGTGTCTTATTGAATTAACTTGATTGCCGTATTGATCAGTTTTGTGTGTTTTTATTCTTAATCATAAGAGTAAAAGAAAATGATCAAGCAACGTTTTACTTAAAAAAAAAAAAAAAAGATTTCATGGCAGAGAAGCAATTGAGTCCAGTTAAGAGACAGTTACCAACATTTTTCAGTTTGGAGCTTTTGTTTTGTAACGAGAACTTTGCCAGTTAGTCACAAATGAACTTGAGTACATTTTCTTGAGCGCGATGGCTGAACAGATGAGCCACACACACTTTATAGTTAGTTTTACTGCATTGAGTCTTTACCTACTATTCCTAGTAGTTACACATATTAAATTATTAATAACTGATTGTCATTTTAAAAGAAGGTTTCAAAAGAAATGTAATTAGATTTTATGGTTGAGTTTTAGCTAATACGTGATTCCACAAATGTTCAGGTGCTGAGATTACATTTCAATTTATACTTGTCATCTGCTAAAATATTCCCCTCTCTCTACAGCATCCTGACCAGATCTCCAAATTTTGAAATCAGTTTTCATTATTCAAGACTCATTGTAAATTTCAAATACTAGGTTGATTTCTTAGTCTCCAGGTTCTCCATGTCTGCTTATGGCTTTACAGAAAAAAAATGTTATTTACTATGCATATTAATATTGAGATTCTTTATTATGTTATTTTATTTATTTATTTATATTTTGAGACAGAGTCTCACTCTGTCGTCCAGGCTGGAGTGCAGTGGCGCGATCTCGGCTCACTGCAAGCTCCGCCTCCCGGGTTCACGCCATTCTCCTGCCTCAGCCTCTCGAGTAGCTGGGATTCTAATCCCCCTCAGCACGCTCGTCTATTTTTTTGTATTTTTAGGAGAGACACGGTTTCACCGTGCTAGCCAGGATGGGAGCTAGTGATCTGCCAGCCTCGGCCTGCCAAAGTGCTGGGATTACAGGCGTGAGCCACCGCGCCTGGCCTACTATGCTGTGTTCTTGTAATTAATAGCATGTTCTTTGATAATATCTCATTGGAAATATTTATGGTCTGAAACATTATTTTTTGAATTGTTAAACATAAATCATTTATACAGCAATAATTTTTGGGAGATGCATATGCTGAATTTTAATGGTGTTTTAGTTTGCAATCCAAAATTGTGAATACATACATGTAAAACTATGAAATCGCTAACTAAATATTTCCATCTGTCATAAGCTGGGTATGTAAGATTGTGTCTCCTCTCTGTTCCATATATCTAAAATTATTTAACTATACGGGAAATGATGTTATCAAATCCTTGCATGGTATCGACGTGTACAGTGCAAAGACTGAGGTTAGGGAGTATCTGTTCTAGTTACTAGATGGCTTCAGTAGGAATCAGAATTAGAATCAACCAGGAAGCAGCTTGATTCCACCACAGACCTCAAAAATCAGATTCTCTAGGAATGGGTAATGAATGACCTTTTGCATTTTGAATTAGCTGTCCGGGTGACTCTGACAGTGATGTTGATCCAGAGAGATTTTCTACAAGAAAAGACATGTCCACATTTTTCCTCTTTGAAAATCATTTCAGGTTATGGATTTTTAACATAAGCTTCTAAGGTTGGAATGAAGATAACTGAATTGACTTTGTTTCTCTCTGCTTGCTTACTTTTTGGGATAGGTCATTAATAACATTGGCAGCATTTCCTACAGAAGGACGGTCTCACACCCCTCCAGTAAATGGCTTAATGCCAAGCTGTGTTTTTGCTAAAGCATGTAAGATTTCAGTATAATGCTGGCCTTTGAGATAACTCATGGGACATTTTGAGTTTTTGAATTTAGATTCCATATAAAAGTGCTATATTTCAATATTTCTCTATTTTAATGTATATTTTTCTTACTTTTATAAAATATACAGTATATCACAGAATTACAAGATAAAAATGGAGTTAAGAGGTAAACATCTTGCTTATTATACTTGCCCTCTCAATATTAATAGGAGTTTACCTAAAATATGAAAAAGTTAAAAATCGAGGAAATCAACCAAACCTTGAGAACGTCTTCTGATTTTAAGAGAATATATGTATATAGAATCCATATTCTTATGTGCTTTTTTTCCCTCTAGCATTTCCTTTCTCCTTTGTTGTGAGAAGAAAATAAAGAAAATGCTTCCCTTGAAAGCTCTCCCTGATACCACTCATTTTTTTTCCCCCTGTGCTTTGTATCATGAAACTCATTGCCTTCCAGAATATTGACTTTGTAGCTAGTTCTTCCATAGGGAGATTCCGAATCTTCAAAATATGTAGATGTGAGGAAAAGTCATTACCTTCATGATGTTCCCATCATATGGCCCACTATGGAAAATTTCAAGAATAATTTCCGCTTCCTGATGTTACTCCCATGTTCTATTGCTATGAAAGAACAACAGATAGCACTGAAGATATCTATCAAATGGTAACATCGGTATTATTAGGTTGGTGCAAAAGTAATTACAATTTTTGCCATTAAAAATAATGGTGAAAACCATGATTACTTTTGCACCACTGTAATACTAAAGATCAAAGCCTTCTTTAATGCCATCGCATAACGTAACAAATACAGAATCTAAATTCAGAACATTAGTTTTCCTATCCTTAATGTCAGTTAGGAGTTGTGGATTTTAGTCTCAGTTTCTTTGTTACAGGGAAAAATTTTGGCTAAGAGTACAGACTTCCTTTGGGAGACCGAGACGGGCGGATCACGAGGTCAGGAGATCGAGACCATCCTGGCTAACCCGGTGAAACCCCGTCTCTACTAAAAAATACAAAAAACTAGCCGGGCGAGGTGGCAGGCACCTGTAGTCCCAGCTACTCAGGAGCCTGAGGCAGGAGAATGGTGTAAACCCAGGAGGCGGAGCTTGCAGTGAGCCGAGATCCAGCCACTGCACTCCAGCCTGGGCGACAGAGCGAGACTCCGTCTCAGAAAAAAAAAAAAAAAGAAAAAAGTTATCAGTATTCAGTTTATCCTAAAACATAGAACTTTGTAATTTACTCCTTGGCAAATGAATATAGCAAAGAAAATGGCCAGAATCACAGAGACAACTTTGGCACCCAGACCCAAGCCTGGTAAAGTCTAGATACATAAGTCTGCCTGGCTGCCTGGCTGCTCTGCTGATGTATTGAAGAGAAGAAGTGCTTGCATTAATAAAAATCTGCTTTCCCAAAGGTTTTTAATGGCAGTGGCCACATGAGCATGCCCGTCATGTGGTCTTAAAGGAACCTAACCCAAAGACAGTGACTTAGTGGGAAGGGGGTTCAATAGTTTGTCTGGAGTAGACTGCTCAAAAACAGAGTGGTGAGAGAATATTTACGAGACTAGTTGGAGGGTGCATTGCCTGAATAAAGAAAAATGGACCTCATTTCAAGGCAGTTTAAAAAATAATCAATTTTGAATATTTTCTAAAGCTAGCCATAAATACCTGCCAAGCTGAAAGACAAGAGTCAGAGTACATTAATGATGGTCAAGTGTCACCTCTCCTGACCTTTACAGCTGCTTCCTTCTCCTCTCTTCTTTTCTTACCCCCACCCCCAAGCACCCAGCAGCAGCTTAATTAGTGGAGTGGCATACTAGAAGAGAGAGTCAAGGAAACAGAGAGGCCACACACATCCCTGTTGTGCCGTGGAAGCATTTTCAAGGCTAAAGTAGGTCAGAACTGGACGTTTTTCATCATATGTAGAATGACATTTTACTGATTCGAATGGCACTTTTTTTTTTTTTAAACAACTAAAGCGATTGGAGCACTTCACTTCCTTTTACAGCAAAACCAAGAATTTTCAGTATCTTTTCACTTACTCTTTTTAGTGTTCTAGATCAGCCAAGCATTTTTTTTTTTTTTTTTTTTTTTTTTTGATAGCATCTTGCTCTGTTGCCAGGCTGGCGTGCAGTGGTGCAATCTCAGCTCACTGCAACCTCCACTTCCTGGGTTCAAGCAATTCTCCTGCCTCAGCCTCCTGAGTAGCTAGGACTACAGGTGTGCACCACCATGCCTGGCTAATTTTTGTATTTTTAGTAGAGACGGGTTTTCACCATGTTGGCCAGGATGGTCTTGATTTTTAGACCTTGTGATCTGCCCACCTTGGCCTCCCAAAGTGCTGGGATTACAGGTATGCACCACTGTGCCTGGCCAGCAGCTAAACTTTTATCCACATCATACTACAAAACTGCTCTTACCAAGGTCACAAGTAACTCCAAACATTCATAGATCCAGTAGTCTCATCTTGGTATCTTATTTTATCCAAAGCCGGCATATGATACACCACATTCCTCCCTGGATTCTTTCTTCATTGGACTTTCAGAACACAATCCCTTTTGGTTTTCTCCTACAGCATTAGCTATTCCTTCCTAATCTCTGTAGCTTTCCCAAATTCCTTATCTCTAAATTCTGAAGTGCTTCAGGGTTTGAGTCTTACACTTATCTTCTCTAATTGTACTCACTTCTTAAGAGTTTATCCAGTCCCGCGACTTTAAATCTAATTTATAACTACTGTTGACACCTAGACTCTCCTAGACCATGCCTCTGGACTCCACGTGGATATTTATACTCTGTATTCAGCTTTTTCACTTGGATGTTCATTGCTTCTTAAACTCACATGGCCAGAACTGAACTCCTGATTGTGATCTACTCACTAAACCTGTTTCTTTCTTGGTCTTCTTCTTTCTTGGTCTTCTTCCATTT